TTTGTAGTCAATTCTCAAGAATAAAGGGAATATATACGAATTCACTTTCATCATATGTTGAAGTTTTATTACAGTTCTAATCATAGGCTTTTAAAACGACAAACATTGCAGAGGATGGAAGGTAGTTAAAATAATAGCGGCGTCAACGGAAAAAAAACATCTTTTTGATACTCCTCTTTTTGCGGGCATGAAAGTCGAAGTTTGCCGAATTTTCTTGGCTCTAATCAAACAATGAATTTATTTAAACTTTAAGGAAACTGCACTTTTTATGTGCCGTGTCCCTTCAGTACGTGGGCGATTAAGACCCCCCCACACACCAAAAAGAATTCCTGTCCTTTTTCGATCTTAGCAATGTTTGTCTTTTTACTATCTCTTCAACGCCCTGTCCTAGTAACCATCCATTTACAGAAGATCGTAGCTTTCTTTGTCGTTGTTCAGTACGTCCTGTGTATGCGCAAATAGCCTTGGGAAGGTATGAATCCATCCCCTCCCCAGCTATGGATTAAATAGTAAGACTTGCATTTGAAAAAAAATCATTGTTATTTCCACTTAAAATTGTTAATACAATATGTGAATATTGCATTAAGAGATTTTTGTGGAGAGGGGGAATAACAATAGCAATAATAATAATATTATTCTTAAAATCACAAATATATTTCGCCTTTAAATAACCAAGAAAGGGATGATAAACAGTCAAAAATAAAATCAACATGCCCTGTGAGTTTCAAATTTGCCAGTCCCTTCTCTCATGTTTTGTGTCACAGTAATTTCAACTGCGTCTTTCTGATTTCATGTGCGAGCCTCCTTTTCGTTCCTATTTAGTCATAAAACTTTCACGACGCGCATATGTCTCCATTTTTTGTTTATTGTTTTCTAAAGATTTTTTAATCTTTAGAAAACAAAAAATGAAAGCAAAAAAAAAAAAAAAGAAGAAGAGGAAGAAAAAAGCAAAAAAAAAAAAAATCCCAAAAAAACAAAGCGTGTCAACCTGTGGGATCATTTGTCGAATTAAGAAAGCTATTGAGAGAGAAAGAAAACTTGATTCTCATCAAGCGCCCGAAACGTTTGCATGTCTAGTTTCTTTTTGTTTATCAAACGTCGACAATTTCTTGTCCGCGTAAAACTGAAATTATCATTTTAGGTTAGCCTATTTTTTTTGTGTTTTTTCTATGGCTAAGAAAGAATTGGTTAGAATTAGAATATATGTTTTATAGCAATGAAATGACGTCTGCTTACAAATATCGGCACAAACAACTTCCCGAAGAACTTTTTCCCCCACGGCATGAGAAAAATGACCTGATTTGTTCTTTCTTTAATGTGTATAAACCGGAAAAAGTTGAGACGTTACAGTCATAATATTTAACTAAAACTCGTTCAATTTTTATAGCCATGCGAAAAGATTCTCGAATATTATTATTTATTTATTTATTTTTTTGTTAAAAATGGACATTTTACAAGTGGACTACGTAACATTTTCTCAGCTTGATTAAACTTATCAGTGAAGACTAAACAAAGAGTAAAAAAAAAAAAGTTATGTCTACACGTTTCTAGGAATTAAAAAATGAGAATAAGTTGAATGAAATATGCAAAGGAATGTTTGTTCGGGGATCGCGTGTAGACACACCTCCATCACCGAAATAGTCTTATCAATTATACTGCAGCATATACTGAGAGCGAAAATATATTGATATTTTAGTTCAGTGGTTCTCATTTGTTTTTTTTTTAACCAATTCACCCTTTTCACCCATGACAGAATCTCATCCCACCACCACTTTTCTTCATCATTATATCATATATATATATATATATATATATATATATATATATATATATATATATATATATATAAGTTATGAAGAACTTGGTAAACCAATTGGTAAATCAAGGAGAAATCCTGAGAGCTGAAATGTGAAGAACAGAGCTAATATTTAATGAAAAACAGACCACTTTAAGGTACCATTACAATAATTTATTTCACCAAAATCCTTTTTACCTGATGATCCGAAATCCTTTAAAAAGGATTTTGGTGAAATAAATTATTGTAAAAACCTTAAAGTGGTCTGTTTTCATTAAATATTTATATATATATATATATATATATATATATATATATATATATATATATATATATATATATATATATATATAATAATACGACATAATGATGTGTTATTATATCATCATCTGAAGGAAACGGGTCACAGGGCAGTTTTCATCCTTGTCATTTAGCTATTCTAACACACACGCATACATATATATATATATATATATATATATATATATATATATATATATATAGTAAGTAATTCTTTTATGGTTAAGTTAAATGAATTATCTAGCACACCTTGCACAAGTGAACTAAAATCCTGAATAGTTTTTTTTTTCAGATTTTAGATTGGCATGCTATTTCAAAATAGCACAATTCACTCTTCTGAAAAATATTCAATTTATTAATATAAAAATACCTAAAATAAAACACCTTTGAAATGGTTAAATTAATGGCCGAAAGCGCTTGGGACAATGAACAATATGGTCAATTTTTGCACGCCCTTACTCCAAGAACGCTGGAAAGATTAAACAAAAAATTAATTAAATTTTCCTTGTCTGCCGCAGTGAAAGATATCAATTAAGATATACTCGTAGTTAGTTTATACAACCACCTTTGAAAATGTGCAGTAAAAGCACCGAAAATATAAGATACGGATTACGCTTGACGTAGCTCAACTTCGGTGATCGTACGGGAACCGCTGTTTCAACGTAATATGGACGTAAGCTAAAAATTCATATATTATCTTCCCTGTTTCTCTCTCCCGCTCCCCCCCCATATATATATATATATATATATATATATATATATATATTACTATAAGGCAAGAAATACACTGCAACAGTAATTTTTTTACCTTATTTGTAATGTACGGAAAATATTCGTGAATATGAAAGGATTATGAGAAAAATAAGCAGACATAATGTTTGTAATTTATTCACTCAGATGTGGCTAAAAGAGAATTTGCTGCTTAAATACACACACACACACACACACACACACACAGACACACACATACAGAGTGAGAGAGAGAGAGCATGAAACACCCTGTCGTCTCTGAGTGTTGACTTCAATGTTCACTTTTATTTTTACATACGCTCTATCTCTGATATTGAGCACTTTATTCCATAAATATAGCACGCCTTAAGATAATATTTCTTCATATATATATATATGTGTGTGTGTGTGTGTGTGCGAGCTCTTCAGCTTGGTACGGACGTGCGTCGCCGTGATCAGGTGAAACCGTCGGTAGATCCGACGTGCTTTAGAACTTTTTGTCCAGGAGGTACATCAATGGTCAAGCAAAATGGAATAATGTTATTCAACACAGATCTTTCTCTGACTTCCGAAAACAATAAACAAAGCAATTTCTAAAGAAAGGGATGATTTTTTTTCTTTCTTTAATAAGCTTTACCGAATATTCAGGCCGGTAGACGAAAATAAATAAATATACTGTTTTATCAATAAACGGGCCGTCTTCTCAAATATGAGTATCCATAAAAAAAAAAAACGTTAAAGCAAAAAAAAAAAAAAATTATGCCGGATTAATAAATAAAACATCCATCCCTTTCTTTAGAAAAGCTTTGTTCGCGTTCGGATACGAAACTGAGCAGGTATGTCTATTTCGAGAGTTAGAGAAAGATCTGTGTTTAAAGACACTATTCAAATTTCCTTGACCATTTACTCACTCCGTGGTCGAGAAGTTTAAAGCCCGTTTGGTATATATATATATGTGTGTGTGTGTGAAAAGTGTATATAAATATATATCTGTATAATTATTTATATATTATATGCGCGGTACTTATTAGAAAGCGCTCAATATCAGAGATAAAGCTAACATATTTGGTTGGATTGATGTGAGTTTGTGACCCGGGGTTTCACGCTTTAGCGATCGTCAGACAATTGTGAAACCCAGGGTCATAAACTCACATCTATCCAACCAAATATATATATATATATATATATATTAGAGTGTGCAGCTTATAATTTCTATCATAAAGAAACAATTGGGAATCTGAAACGACCCCGTCTGTTTTGTCAACGGGCTAAATTTTCAATTCTGACATATTTCATTCAACAAATTATTTGTAAATACTATTAAAATAAAACATTTTTAAAGATTCTGAAATTAGCGAAAAAAGTTTTCATAAGCTTTTTATATAATTAACCAAGAAATTTAAATTAAAATACCAAAGAAATTTGAATTAAATGATTATTAATAATATTCAGAGAAACATATTTACATCTAGAGTTACTTAGATGTATTTATTAATATTTATCAGGATATGAATGTACTTTAAACTAAGGAAAAGAAAAGGTCGGGGTTAATTCCCTGTAATTCATTCAATAAGTTCTGTAAAAAGTTTTTTTTCGAAATTAGCGAAAAAATATATATATATATATATATATATATATATATATATACACGACTCTGGATAGTGATCTTTCTGCGAAACCTAAATTCTAAAGGTAGAAATATTTTAAGTGTAATAATAATTCAATTATTAGTTACATTTTTTTGACCAGTAATTCAGTAAAGCACGTATGAATAGATGCAGAGAAGAAAAGAACCTGTTTTAAAATGTTGAATCTCAAATATTTATTGACATAAAGAACGAGCAAACTGGTTCTTGAATTTATGAATACCAGCAATGCGTGTGAAATATATATATATATATATATATATATATATATATATATATATATATATATATATATATATATATATATATATATATATATATATATATATATATATATATATTCATATATATATATATATTTCATATATATATATATATTTATATATATATATATATATATATATATATATATATATATATATATATATATATATATATATTATAATATATCATTAGAAAGAAGAAGAAGAAGAATTAGAAGAAGAAGAAGAAGAAGAAGAAGAAGAAGAAGAAGAAAAGATTTGACTTACCATCCGACCAGCGCGGTTGTTATGCCTGTTCATATTTGCTTTCTTTGACCTTTTTGGTTTTAATTTATTGGACAATGAGCTGTCGGTGAAGGTCTCGCTAAAGTAGAGTCCATATTGTATATCGTCGCCGCATCCCCCCCATTTAAATGGGCCCGTGGGAGCGCTGCGAGGTAGTGATCCACAACTGCATTTTGTTGTCACTCCTATACTGCAAGCACGAGCCACAGTATGGACGAGAGCGGCCGATGCTATAGCATACACGTAAGCTTGTTCCCGGGAACCTAAAAAAAACGAAATAAACACAAATGATTAACAGACAAGTCTTTACACTAAATACATTTTACAGCGAATATTGTGGGAAAAATCACTGACGAAATAAAACTTTAGTCTTTCGTTCATAGTTGATTTTAAAAAAATAATTAATTGTTTTATAATAGTGATTAACACGAGCTAGTGTAATCATCTTTTCTTTTCTCAAAATGCCTAAGTAAAATGGATCGAACTCTGCAATAAGTTCAGTGACTCTCATCTTATCTGTCTACAGTGCTTTGAAACTTTCTTGATATACAAAACAACATAGTCTATGCTGTCTTCATGATTCCACAAAGATTTGAGCACGTTCATTCAATCTGATAAACCAACTTTTGTATGTGTCGTCTGACATTTATAAAAAGAGTTTCCAAACAAAACAGTATATGCATACTTTTGGGATAAGCTAAGACCCCAGACCATTCTTACTATTTTCTAGTTTTTTTTTTAATATTTCAAACTATTTCTTTAAGAAAAAGTATATTTTGATCATTATAAGCGTCTCTGTGATAAAATGCCTCGTCTTTAGCATTGGAAAAAAAGTTTCCATCGATCTTTCTACATGCTCGACATTCTGTTTTGATCATTATAAACGACTCTCAGATAAAAAATGTCTTGTCTTTAGCATTGAAGAAATTTTTATAATGATCAAAAAAGATCATTATAAAAATCTCTCCGGTAAAATGTCTAAAAAAACTTCCACCGATCTTTCTCCCCCATCACCATTCCGATTTTGATCACTATAAACACTTTTGAATTCGGGGTGTACACCAGCATCTTTTTACCTCTGAAAAAAAGAAAACAAAGACCCTCCCCCCACACACCAAAAAGATGTTTTACAGTTATCAATTTTTCGCGATGTTTTAAATTTATTATCAAGACACTAATCACCCCCACAGCCCGCCGGCTCTAGAACCAATTCTTCTCATCTCATCCGAGAAAGAACAGAATTATCAGGAAAATTCTTGGATAGATATAGATGAACTTATGGACGATTTGCTAATTCGGACACCAAATTATTTGGACATTGTTGGAACTTCCGGCTTTCTTCAGTTTTCTGTCTTAGGTTGATAGACTCCTGAAAATTTCGAAACGGAATTTTTATTCAGTCCACAGGAGGAGAGTGTCCGAATTTTGCTGTCCATGCTGGGGGATATCTTGTGTCAGTTAACGGTAATACTTAGGACAAGAACAACACATATAAGATTTGTTAGCGGCGCGTAGAAGTAGTTAACTGACCTTTTGATAATGCGTCTTATTCTGGGCACGTTTATCCATATTGCCCATTTTCTTTTTTATATTTCAAATAATATTTTTACTTATTTAGAATCAGATAGCTTACTTATTTTTCAATATGCCTTCAATGTTAATGTTTCTCGAAGCCTAGAGAATCTTGAGTGAATTTTTATATGACGAGCAAGATGTAAATAGAATCAAGAACTTATTTTTGTCGCCAAAACACGGAGTTAACGAGCAGAAAATGTTCTTTCGAGTCTTGTAAACTAGATAGAACTTGTTTTTTTTTTTTTTACATCGGTAGTAACAATTGTTTTTAAGTCGATACTATTTCTGTTTTGAGGAATAGGATATATTTTCTGGAAAGATAATGGTTTCGACACCCACTTCAGTACAAAATATACATTATATAAATAATGCTTATTATAAATTCACAGTAAAAACACCCTTTCTTATCGAAGTTAATTAGAATCGACTCTGATCAGAATTCAGATGGGTAACCTCTTAAGAAGATCTGATATCGTAAGCAAATCTGTTGCCAGACAAAACAAAGAATGTTCATTTTTTTTTTTGTTTCTTTTTACCTGGGAAATGGTTTTGCCACTCCTTCAGAGTGCAAATATCCATTTAGGCCCAGAAGTTCGCTTCTATGTTGGAAGTTGAAAACAATATTAGCCCGGGCATCGACTCCCCGAGCATTACCACTGCGGTGCCTGAAACGTCCCCAAAAGGGGAAGTACCGAGAGGGTTTGAGCAACTTTACTACGGTATTTCCAGTCAACCCACTTTAAAGCGTGACTTGTGTCACATTCGGTAGCAACCTGGGAGCACCGAAAAAAAAAACCCTTATTATAACGTCACACTGAAAACACCTTTTCTTATCGAAGTTAAGTTAGAATCGCGGCCCTAATCAGGATTCAGATGGGTAACTGACTGGATGTAACTTCCTGCTTACGAATGGAATAAGAAATAAATGAAAATGGTTGTCCCTGTGTATACGTCGAGGCAGGTCTTAGCTGTAAATATCTGAACTGGTGACTATAAGGAATGCAACATTTTCCTTGCAAACAGAAATAAAATGCGATAGGCTTGCGACATTGCGTTGTAGGATGGAAAAACGCCTTTGAAATCTGTCGGGACTGGAAAGATGGGATTGGGCAGAAAAGTGACTGAAGACGAGATGTCTGGTCAGGATCGATTACATTACAGATCCCTTGGATTTTGTCAAGAATCCCGAAATGTACAGCAGGTGCACCAGCAGACTAGATATGGCAGCTTTATTCATTGCACGGACGGACGGAATCAAAGTGTAGTATCTGATATCTCTACCTCTTTAAATTATGACAGAAGCCTACTGCCAGTGACTCTAACAACTACGGCAGCACATTCGAACGTTGCTGTTTACAGAGAGAGGATTGGTGGAATACTGACGCCAGTGTGATAGTAATCGCGAAGACTGAGTAAATTTCGGTAAACAAAAAGCTCGTAAAATATTTCAACGAATCAAAATATATCATTCTTCCCAGCAACTCAATCACAACTACTATTGAAAAGAATTTGTTTAACATAAAATTTGTCACAACTTTCGATACAACAAAATAAAACGTAAAATATTAATATTAATAATAATAATAATAATCTAAACCTTGAAGGTGGAATTTATTTTATTACCAGCAATAATTGCTACAGGTAATACATAGGAGAAACCTCAAGGATTTCAAATAAAACATACGTGATTTAAAAAAAAAAAAAAAAAAAATATGGATGTGACCATAATTTTGATAAAAAAATGTTACTTTAATTAAAAAAGTGATTTATGAACCTGAAAATATATAGGAAGTGCTTTAATCGCTAGATCATCCACAGTAAAATGACCTTCCTTGGCAGATCTGCTATTATGCGGGATATTTAATATCAAACGTGATGGAAACATGAACAAAAAGAACAAAAAGAAAACTAAATGAAATCGGCGAGACGATATGCCCAAACACACATTTGGTTAAATAAAAAAATTAAATTTAGAAGATTAATATTTCAACGTCTCCTCTCCTTGATGCGCTTGTGTAATCACAGCAATGTCAATACACAGACACACACACACACAAAGCAGAAAAATGTGCATCTGTGAATGTATGTGAGGCGTCATATATATATATATATATGTATATATATGACTTATTCACTTATGATTATCTCAAATCGTCCTAATAATTTCTATAACTTGTATATCATTGCTTGAAACGGCTTCTAAAGCTCTGGATGGAGCGGCTTGGGGACATTAGTCGTGGCTCGTGGGTACACAGTCCTATGGGTAAGGGAAACTCGGATGAGTTCCACCACGGAATATGTGATCGAGCGGCGCTATACCGAGTCTAATTCGTTGCCTCTTCGTCACCGAGTCCCGTTGGTACATTTGGTATGACGTTTGCCTGATATCGTAACTGTCCGCGTTTCAATTCTCGGTAGTGGATGCGCACTGCTGATAAATCCCAAATATAGGACGAAACGGCCGTCCAGTGCTTTCTGCATACTGTTGAGGCTTGTTCTAGACTCAATGAATTACTTATATATATATATATATATATATATATATATATATATATATATATATAAAGTGGTACTGAGATGCGTGCTGTCTTTTATTATGCTTTTTTCTCTGCTGTGACAACGAAAATTAGAAAATTTCAATGAGGAAGGCGAGCATTCCATATTTATCTGTTTAATGTCTATAATCCTTTGTAGGCCCCCCCTTGTCCGCCGCCTAGCAGCTGGCGTACCAAACTACGCCAGCACCCTCTCACTTTTTATCTATCCTATCTATTTATCATATTCTCCGGTAAAGTATTTTAAAATACGTTAAAATATAAATAAATTTTTTTTTTTCAGTCTACTGTTTATATGGGTAGACAGTTAAAGTACAACCCATTTCTAAAATGTGTGACGAGAGAGAGAGGGAGGGGGAGGGGGTGTGAGAGGGGGATGTATCTCTTTTTTTCATTGACTGACTATTAAATTACATGCAAAAAGATAGTGTTCGTTTTAGTTGGGACTGTGTGTATGTGATCAATTTTTCTTTTATCATTCAAGCTAGTAAAAGTGGAACTTAAAAATTTGATATTGTTCATTCCAGTTTATAAGAGTTGGGCCTTGTTCTGAGAAGTCAATGAAACACGGCAACGAAATTCCACAAAATCAATCGAACCACATGAATCATTTACAAGTGTGCGTTGCAGGCTTATCTTTTCAGTTTATTCGATTCAAATCTAATTTAGAGTCATTTCATTCAGTTTCAGCCTTGCCCATTGACAGGAGTATGTGTGTGTGTAAAATTCATAACATACCAATACTCTTATCGTATGAAAAAATATTTTAGTGATGTTTGATTCAGAGATTGTATATTACTGGAAGGCTCTAGCTGGAGCTCTACACAGTGGCAGACCGATGGGTGATGGCCATTCTTTCAGGAATGTAGGACGCCCATGGCTAAAATACAAAGACAAGCTGAAAAGCAACTTGTCAGCAGTTAATATACCACATAACACCCTTGAGCGCTTAGCTTTGGAGCGGGTAGAATGGAGATCAACGTGTTTTAGTGGACTCGGCAATTTTCAATCTGCTTGTCTGAATCATCTTCAAGAAGCGAGAGCAAGATCTAAAAGGTCAACCAATCTAATAGTGATCTCATCTCACAACCCTCACACTTGCTCAATATGCGGCCTCCTTTGTAAATCACTAGCGGGTCTTAAATGCCACTTAAGATTAGCGCATAAACTTTCATAACTGAATCAATAAGCTGGCAGATCCTCATACCTCGAAACAGACGGGAGAGTCCATTATATATATATATATATATATATATATATATATATATATATATATATATATATGATATGATAAAGTCAATTAGTAACCCGTTGGTCTGATGAAGCGAAATCGAATTCTCTATTTTGCGAAATAAAATATTACCATGGCTTTCTGAAGTCTCCGATTTCTTAATTATATATATATATATATATATATATATATATATATATATATATATATATATGTGACCAAGATTGTCAAAATCGTGTAAAAGCAAAAAGTGTCCATTTGCTAGATCAAGCTTTGAACCGTTGTATCTTAAAAGAGATTAAAGATATATTAATAGAATTATTTTGTAACACTATTGAACTTTGAGGAAAATGAATGTATAATAACACAACAAGCTTAAAGGAAGTATCGTGATGAATCGATCTTAAGCGAAAATGACATGTTCATCATAAATTAATCATAGCTAAGGATCGAAAGCGCAAACAAAGCTCTCTCTGTATATGATAACTTGTATTACAGTTATCACAGATTAAATTTGTCTTCGTAATTCATCCCCCGAGGATGATCATCTCGGACGAAAGCGAAAGTACTTGGGTTAACAATAACTACAACGTCTCCCTTGATGAATTTCAACTTAACATCAAGAAGCTAATTAGAGAACTAGAAAGGATTATTATAAAATAAATACAGATAATATGTCTATATTTTTCAATGAAACATGTTTGAGTATATATATATATATATATATATATATATATATATATATATATATATTACGATAAACGTGCAATCAATTTACAAATACATGAATTATTCACACAAAAACTAATGCAAAAGTTAATGATTTAAATAGAACAACATCTATTCTATACCTGAAGATGTCTGTAGGAACAGACGAAAGCTTGTAGTAAAAATAAGAACTAATACGGCAGAAATTTATATAAACAAGGATCATTTCATTCATAACGGATTCGGAGGCTGTCTCGCCATTTAAATCATTAACCTTTGCATTAGTTTTTGTGTGAATAATTCATATATATATATATATATATATATATATATATATATATATAACTTCAAAATTTATTTTTTAGGAGATAACCGTGTTTCAAATACATGCACCATTTTTATTTTAAACAATGTGCATTCTATCTACCGGCCGTCTACGCACCCGAAAAAACTGAATAAAAAAAAGGTGCTCTCCGGCAGGGTTCGAAATTGCGTCGCTCATTGTAAGGAACAAACGCTGTTTGATCTGGCGTGTTTTAGTCTGCTTGGCATTTTTCTATTTACACTTTTAAACAATGCACTTTCCACGTTCAGAAGCTAATCCTCTCTCTCTCACACACACATACACACACATACACACATGCATATATATATATATATATATATATATATATATATATATATATATATATATATATATATCAATTTAAACATACTCGTAGTTAGTAGGTACCAACCTCCTTTGAAAATGTTCAGTAAAAGTACTGAAAATATAAGATACAGATTACGCTCCACGTGGCTTAACTTCGGTGAACGTACGGGAATCGGTTTTAAACGTAATGAGGCCCAGAGCTAAAAAATTCGTATAACATCTTCCCCCCTCTCTCTCTCTCTCTCTCTCTCTCTATCTATCTCTATATATATATATATATATATATATATATATATATATATATATATATATATATATATATCAATAGCAATCAACCAACACTAAACAAAATTTATTACGAGTGTAGCAGCAAAAATTTAAAATGTATTTGACCAACATTCAATGCTTTTTGCATTTTTTACCATGAGTAGTTAGTTCCTGTATATTGTGACGCGTGCAAAAACACCATAGCCATAACCGATAAATTTAAAATAATTTTGCTCCAGTTATATATATATATATATATATATATATATATATATATATATATATATATATATATATATACAAAAGCACGAAACCAGATATGCTAACAATATTCAATGCACGGACGAGTGGAAGAATTATAAATATGCAATATGGATATGACGAGAAAAAATATCAGTCTACCAACGTTCCTTGCAGTAAACCTAGTAATTGATTCAATATAAACACTCCACACCCTCTCAATGGGAATAGGTGAGTCGAAGAAGCTGCAAAGAGATGCTTTCCTAGTGGTTAGCATCAACTATAGTGATGGTAGGCAGAAAAGGTCCTCTTTGCTTGGTTGGTTGATTTGGTTTACCGGCATATCAACATCTCTATGGGTTAATTAATGCCGAAATCTATTGTATCAATTGTATGTTTTCAAATGTGTTATTCGTAATTCATAAAATGTATTGCTGGTCATTTTACTATAAATATGTATTGTTGGCCATTTAGGCAACCGGACGTCTAGTCACACTGATGAGCTGTGATACAGCGAAACAATCTGTCTGTGGATGACAATATATATGCTCCTGAAAAATTTATTTCGGTTGAGCTCTCTGGGGAGGAAGTGTGGGTTTGTAAGCAGTGACTATTACAGCTAAGAATGCATGACTCTTCGGTAAATCGAATCGAGTTCTCTCAATCACTAAAAATAAATACGCTTAGATTCGCCTTCACCCAACGGCTTAGTGGTAGAATTCCCGAATGACGCCATTTTAGTCGGACGTTTAGCCACACTGATGAGCTGTGATACAGCGAAACAGTCTGTCTGTGGATGCATATCTGGTATATATATATATATATATATATATATATATATATATATATATATATATATATATATATCTGGTATATATATATATATATATATATATATATATATATATATATATATATATATATATATAGATAGATAGATAGATATAGATATAGGTATATATAAACAAAAAGAAAGAATAGTAAGATATATAATTCGCTTGAGGATGAAATGGAACTAATGTCTTTAATTTAATTACAAAATTAAATTTGGACCTTCCATTTTGAAACATGGTTAGAACTGTGTAGCGGAAAAACCATATTTTAAATCAATTAATTTATAATATATATATATATATATATATATATATATATATATATATATATATATAGTATATGTATGCTAGTGTCCTATTAGATGAGAACAACAATTACTGTGTGTAAATTATTCTCGCGAGTAGTTTGCAACAATTATTTATCATCTCTCAGTTGTGTCTCTGTCCTTGGACAGAATGCAAACAGGGGCGGCTCCGTCAAAGGACAGAGTCAAAACTGAGGAAAATTATACTGAGAGGTGCTCAGCTGCCCAAGGCCGCACCCTTTCATTGCACCAGAGAGGGGGGTCGGTGGTCGCAGCGAGGCCAGCGCAACCGATGATTGCGGAGGCTGTGGGGCAATTTTTGTTCCTAGCCCGGGCGTACGCGCTGGGGCTCCCTTCATTAATAGATGAGAACAACAGCAATAAAGAAATGGTTCCACGTTCTCCAAAATTTGTTTTTGTTTCCTGGTTCTCTATTTGCCCATGGCTAGTTCCCTAATAGAACAAGAACAGCAATTAAGAAGCGGTTCCACGTTCTTCAAAAACCCCAATCTCGCGATCAGAGGTTTTGTTGCTGGATGTAGTTTATTGTCATCCTCAGGACTAAATAATAGCAGTTTTGTTTTGGAGGAGTTAAATTTTACAACTGTTCAAAAACCCCTCGATGTTTGTATTAACGCACCATTATCCTGACCGAAAGTTTGACTGCATTGTCCTGGTTCAATTGATTACACCAGGCTATGTTTGCTTTCCCAAAAGCTAAAGACATGGGATACAGTATAAACCACAGGTTGTCTATCTGGGCGTTGAAGAAATGTGCCGGGGCAGGCGTCTGCACCAGGGATTGATTAGCCATTCTAGCAGACGGTAACCATCGGAAACGATCTAACAGTTATTCTTCTTCTTCTATGTGACGTATCCCTTCAGGAAATTACCAATCATGGCTCTCCACAGCTTTCTATCATTTGTAGCTCTTAATGAATTTTGTTCTTTTGACATCTTTCCCATAACCTTTCCTAAGGGTATTTGCGTGTAAGTGAATTTAACGAACCGAAATTGGAACTCGGCTATCCGATGAACAATCCTGGGTCATTATCAATTACACCAGCCGCACATACAAGCGGTCAGCCATCTAGGTACTGACCAGGCTCGACGTTGCTTAACTACGGTCATCGTACGAGAACCGATGTTAAACAAATAAGTATGAAAAAATATAGTTTTTATTCCCAACCTTATTTCGAGTTATCGTTATTTTACATCCTATTGTTAATACAATATATATCTAAAGAGCCACTCAAGGTAGATGGCTTTTTGAAGGAGGTTGCTATAAGGGAGTTTAAAGAGGAAGTAAGAGGTATAGGGTCGGTGTTTCAATGTGATGTGGCCGTACGCCGTTATGATGAGAAAGCATTAACAGGAACGAAAGTAAACCCCGATATCAATTTGGGAAATATTGAATGACTTGAACGACATCTTAGATAACTTAAGTAAAAGATAGAAAATTAAAAAAAAAATCATCCATAGCGCATGCGCATCGATTCGCCTAATTGCCCCAAATCTAACTTGTTTCTCATTTTATGGTTGGCTAAAACTTAAGAGAGAGATTATGACTGCCGACATTTTTGTTTTTAATTTTTATTACTTTCTATCTCAGTAATTGATATCAGGTTTAGAGAGGGTGAAGTCAGTTCGCACTTGTGAGATGCAAATTACTTTTGAAAGTCCGCCTGGTGAATGAAAACGAATTAATAAGTGCAGTCGGCACTAATTTTTGTTATTGCTGGTTTGCATCAAGTGGAAGAGGATGTTTCTTTTCCGAGCCGTGCATTCATATCAATCTGCGACATTTTGTCGATATCTGCCAGCGGAAATATACGACCGGGTCCGCCAGAAGAGGATATTTCAACACATAGTCAGCATCTGTCCTGCTCCGTGCATCGATCCCCGTTTCGTCGGTGCGAACGAAACGGGTAAAGGCTCGCTTTATGTTCAACAACGAAACGGAAGGTGAGACGGGGGATAAAAGTCAAGAATAACTCTGACTCGGGGTATCATCTTGGTGCTGTACCACTCAAAACTAGCTGAAACCCAAATTCTTGAAAAATGGCTCCGAACGAACTCATTGCGCATGCATGAACAGTTACTTTCTCACCGCCGTGATGTCTCTTCCCACTGTCTTTTCTACAAATATTTTCATGGCAATTGTTTTGATGAGCTTCCCTCCTTGGTGGGACTGTATGGATTTAAACGTGCTATTAGATTGGCAACTAGGTTTCACTGTTGTTCTAGCTAGATGTAACCATATGTTATACTAGCAGCATGGCCCGGCGTTGCTCAAGCTTGATTCAAAAATTGTACGACTCATACAGCAATCGCTATCACTTGACTTAAAATATTTTTGCCCTTCCTTGCCTTTAAAGGAGTGCCCTTTGCCGTGCTGATGTTGCTACATGCTTTACTTCTTGCCTATCTCACACTGCGGATTGTTTCTAAGCTCTATACTAAACATTAAATCTGTTACGAAAAAAGAACTAAACAAAATGAACACAAAACGATCAGCTTTAAAAAAGGACTCGTAACTGGAAAAACCGAATGAAAAAAGAATGTTAACACAATACTTTTTCACACCCAACCCAGTTCTGCGGAATCAGAATCAACGTTGAGTTTAATCAAGCGAATGAGCCAATTGGAGTAAAGTGCCATGCAGATTTAAATTTTTCCCATTTGTGACGAATGCAGCTATCGATTTTTTTGCATGCTAGCATGCTAGATAACATTCGTGTCAGTCAGCTGTTGGCTCTCGCGCTGGTCAATAGAATCTTCCTGCCTATTCGTGGCAGCCAGCTATTGGCTCTCACTCTGGCCAGTACAAAATGGCCGCAAACTACATGAAAACTGCCGTAGAAGCATGACAAATCGATTATTTTCCACTATCGATGGGAGTTGGGAAATGCAAAGCCGGTGCATGTGCATGTAAATTTAGGTGCAAATCCGTCGAAAATTGCGGCCGTGCATTCGTTACACACACACACACACACACACACACACACACACACACACACACACACACACACACACACACACACACACACAGCCTCCCTATGATATATAGAGATTCTAATAGTTTCTTTTCTTGCACTTCTCGTCTCTAGAACTCCCGTCTAATTTCTTGCTTTTCTGTCACCCAGAATCTTCAATAAATTAAATGTAAGAACAATCGCCATGTTCTGTTGTTTTTTTGAATCTCCTTCCTTTATTTTCCTTTCTCTTCACTGCTCACTAAAGGCTTATCATTCTTTTTCGCTTCCTGTAACCTCCTGCTTCCTAGTGTCATCATCGCCTTGCGTGGGGTGAAATGATTTTTAAAAAAATGTCCGTAAGCAGTTTAAAGGTGTTTAAAGATTTTTTTTTGTTGCAGTCAGACGTCTACGCACAAGATCGGGTAGATAATGAGATTAGGGTTAATACAACCGAGAACAGCGCCATATTGTGAAGATGAAGTCGTTAGAAAAACAGCATCTGGCAAATAGCGAGGGTTGGTTTGAACATCAAATAATGACGTGGGGGAGCTGCGAAGCGATGGTGCTGTATCGATGGAATCTATAAACAAAGCTTTTTCATACGGGAAAGAAGAAAAAACAACGACAGAAACAAAGACATGTTAGGAACGTATATTTACTCGGCAACTTCAGAAGTGCATTCAGTTTATGCAGACACTTGGGGTAGGGAAAGAAAGAACGAGAAGAAAGAAGGAAAGAAAGAGACTTATAAAGGGGGAGAGACAAAAGTAAAGAAAGAAAAAAGGGAGAAAAAAAGAAACAGGTGAAGTAATGTAGAAAAGGAAGAGAGAGAGAGAGAGAGAGGGGAAAGAGATAAGGGGAAAGAGTGTGCGGGGAAAAGAAGAAATGAAAAAGGGAGTGATAAAAAAGAGATAACGGAAGACAAGCGGAAATGGCGGAACGAAAAAGAGAAACAGGATGGGATAGAGAGAGGGTAAGGAATAATCAAAGAAAGAAAAGGAAATGTTGAAAAAAAGCAAGTAAATGACAAGAAAAGGGGAATTTCCAGGAAAGAGAAAAAAAGGAAGACAGAGTGTGAGAGGTGGGGGGGGCAAGAGAATGGTTAAGTTCAAGGAGAAAGAAAGAAAGAAAGAAAGAAAGAAAGAAAGAAAGAAAGAAAGAAAGGGTAATATGAAAGAGAGAGAAAGAGCGAGAGAAAGAGATGGAGCGAATGAGACAATGAAAAAGGTCGAAAAAAGGTTTCGTTGAAAATAAGTGAATTTCCAGGAAAAGGACAGAAAGTGAAATATGAGAGAGAGAGAGAGAAAGAGAGAGAGACGGGGGGTAAAAAATAATTTTCCGGAATTAGGAAGAGGGTTAAAGAGTGATCGATCGATCAATAGATAGATAGATATGATAGATAGATAGATAGATAGATAGATACATATAGTAGATAGATAGATAGATAAGATAGATAGATAGATGTAGATAGATAGATAGATAGATAGATATAGATAGATGGATGGATAGATAGATGCAGGGTAGATAAGATAGATAGATAGATATGAGCAGATTGAGATAGATAGATAGATAGATAGATAGATAGATGAATAGATAGATAGAAGATAGATAGATAGATAGGGTAGACTAAGCAGATTGATAGATAGATAGATAGATAGATAGATAGATAGATAGATAGATAGATAGATAGATAGATAGATACGGGTAGACTAAGATAGATAGATAGATAGATAGATAGATAGATAGATAGATAGATAGATAGATAGATATGAGCAGATTGAGATAGATAGATAGATAGAGTGAGTGAGTGAGTGGGTAGGTGGTTGAATGAGCAAGTCAGAGAGAGAGAGTGTGTGTGTGTTAGAGAGAGAGAGAGAGAGAGAGAGAGAGAGAGAAGTAATAAGACAAGTAATCAATGGACGAGACAACAGGATCTAAGAAGGGAAAAGGAAAAAAAGCGTGGGTGAAGATCAGAAACGAAACTTCCGCCCTCGCAGTAAATAAGCTGTACCTTATCAAAACAACTTTCGAACAAGTTAATGCATCACCGATTTAAAAAAAAATCTTCTGTTGTTATTGTCTCCTCAGCTTCTTTGGAAGTGGAGCGCATCGGCGGGGGCGCGTATTGTTCACACCTCCCGCCAATCATACAAGATTTTGAATCGTAGATCCAGACAATAACAAAGCATCTTTCCGGTACAAAGAAAACGCCATATTTTGTAAACCAATGTAAATATATTTCATAGAATTCATGAAGCATCTTTCTTTTATATTTTTTTTAAATCAATTCACCCCAAGAAAGGCGATAATGCCACTAAGGTGAAATATAATGAGAAGACTTTAGAAGGAACCAGAAACCAAATCCTAAACAGGAAACAAGGAATAAACCTCTATTCTTGCTCAAAAGACTGGGGAGGAGTTTGAACCGGACAACAGGCGAACATATCTACTCCTATCGAGGTAATATATATATATATATATATAGTAAATAAAATTTCAAAGTTTAGGTGGAGACGGTACAAGTATAGATTTGAAGTAAACTTTAGAAGAAATCCAATCCTACACATGAAAAGAAGGGATAAACACCTACTCCTGTTCAAAAGACCAGGGAGGAGTGTGAACTGGACGATAGGCGAACCTATCTACTTTAATAGCAAGATATTTTCACCGATAAAACTTTATTTAAATAAAAGAAACAATGATATTTGTCTATTTGAACATACCAAATAAAACATGTATTATAAAATAGTATTAAAGAAAAAAATGTCATCTCAATCCACCCTCAGGACATAGGAGGTCATGACTCTCCACGCATTCTTTTTCTTTATTATCTGTGAATTCTCTTAGGCTGGTTGTCATCCGGTCTGCACAGCTATTTAAGCCATAGCTGTGGGGAGAAAATATAAATTCCTAAGGGCATTAATGCCAAAGCAAACGCAGTAGACTGACCTGGGATTTGAACTCGACAAACTGATTTTTTTTCCCGCGTTGATATGTTTTTTTTTCCTTTTTTAATCACGCAAGACGATAACGTTACCAAGACGTAAGAAGCTACTAGGAATGAAAGAGAATGAGAAGACATTAGAAGAAACGGGGAAACCCAATCTTAAACAGAAAGCAAGGGATAAAACTCTACTTCTGTGTAAAAGAGTGGGGTGAAGTGTGTTACATGCAAATAGGGTCAGCCCTATTAATTTTTTCTTTCTACAAGAGTCACTGAAGGCAGATCATTGCTAAATGCATCGGTGGCTCAGACAAGCTCGATCGTTTAGGAGGAGTAAAAAGCCCATTGAAAAAAGAGGCAAGTAACAAAGACTAGTAGGGGGTGTGCTGACATCCACTACCCCGCATTTCATGTACAATAGTCATACAAGCATCTTTTAGACACTATTTACATTATGTCGAACTGGACCCTTTATTTCGCTCACTGGGGTAGACTGTTCTAGTTCCACGTGCCATGTCTAATAGATGTCAATTATCTCCTGTGAATTCTTCTCTCCAAGTTCTCCACAGCCTTAACCAGGTATTGAACTCACACTCTTTGTTCTTGTCAGTGGATCTAACTAATGCCTTTATCCACTGTACCAAGTGTCCTTGAGACTTGGCACGTGGAACTAGAACAGTCTATCTCAGTGAGCGAAATAAAGGGTTCAGTTCGACATTCCAACCACTTGAAGAAGGCCGGAGCGTAGATCGGCCGAAACGTTGTGATAAACATGGCGACAAAGATGAGGACAATAGTCCGAATAATGTAAATAATGTACATAATACCTTACCTCAGAAATATAGACACATCTTTTAGACATTTTGCTCAAATCAATATAATCATATATTTAAAGTGTTTGAATAAATATTAAGTTGTTTCGTATCTTTAGTTAACAAACATCGTTTGCCTAAATATTTAGTTGTCTTGAGTAAGAGCTTGCATGCTGCATGTATCAAAGATGAGAGTGAAATCGTTTTGTTTTTGCCCATAATGCCAAATTAAACTTTGTTTCTATTCTCTGTCGTTTTCCGTGGTATAAAGAAAAAATAGCTATTACACTTTCACCGATACGGAACACCATGTCTGATTATATGTTCAGATTATCTATCTATCTATCTATCTATCTATCTATCTATCTATCTATCTATCTATCTATCTATCTATTTCAGTCTGCTCTTATCTATCTATCTATCTATCTATCTATCTATCTATCTATCTATCTATTCATAAGTACTTTGATGAGAGAATTCAACTACATATCCTGTTATTGACACATATGGCTTTGAATTAATGGTTGAACTATATTGACTGCCAGCCATGGCTAGAGTTTCCAGCTTAGCCTTCTATTTCGCCCATATCTGAGTGTGAAAAGAAATGGTTTAATATCTTTCCCAACGCGTGAAAGCGAAAGTAACGATGTCGACCAGAACTCAATCTCGGCTCACTGATTTCTCATTCGTTTTTCCATGGTTTCAAAAAGCCGTCATGCGTTATCAAAAATGTTTCTTTAACACGAAAGAAAATAAAATCTATCTGAAATAGGGAACTTTGGCAGAAACTGTGTGTTAATAAATACTTCTCATATATACCGTATCTCTTCAGGATGTTGGCGATCATGGCTCTCCACAATTTCCTGTCCTTTGTAGCTATTAATAAATCGATAAATAAATAATCTTTTTGCTATCTCTCCTAAACCCTGTTCCTCTATCCATTTATTCAAGTTCGCTAGGTAGCGGATGCGTTGCTTTTTCTGTCCCTATAGCCTTCAATCTGTGCTGTGAGTATCAAATTTTCCAAGCCCTCTTTCTTCAGTATGTGCCCTAAAAATTTAAATTGTCTTTTTCTGATGTTAAGTATAAGTGCTCTTTTTGTTTCCATTTTATCTAAAACTTCATCGTCGCTCACTTGTCCAGTCAAAGGCATTCTCAGCTTCCTTCTGTAGTACCACATTTCTGTTGTTTCAACTCTCCATCTGTGAGGAGATTGTCAAGCTTTCATTGTCATATAGTAGGACAGATATTACAGAACAATTCAGTGTAATTTTCTAACATCTTTTTTTTTCTTTCTCTTAATACTTTGCTTAACTTTAGGAAGGCATCTTTCGCGATCCCAACACACTTTCGGATTTCAGTGTTTCACTTTCCGCACTCCCCGCTTAAATACTAATAAGGATAATAATAAACACTAGCTAAAATTTTTACAACGTCAATTCTACTACTAAGCGACTTAAATACAATCTGGAAAAAAAAAACAAATCTTGTTTGAACCCAAATCAACCTCCATATTTGTTACGACACGCATAAATGAGCAGACTTTGAAATTTGCCGACGTCCTAAAATTTAATATCGATTAGATTTAAGACACCTGAACATCTTATTCCTGGCTTGGTATGAGGCGTCTGTAAGAATGAACTTAAAACAAAGAGTGAGTGTGTCTTTTCGGTCAAGTATCGTCGATTGAGTTTCACTACGTTTGCACTGAAGTGGCTATCAGTTACTGGCCAAATCTCAGACCACCTGCTTCAGTGAGTTGGCAAAGTATATTCGTAGCACATCCCATGTTAGAGAGTGTCGAATGTCAGCGCGCAAGCTGTAAAGAAATCCCGACGATTGTCGACTGCACAGTCACATCGTAGTCGAGAGCTTACGCACACGGCTCCTTGAACAAAGGCTCCTGTTTCTCATCTGGTCCGCCTTTGCTGTGTCATGATGAACAAAAAATCGGCGAGGTTGCTTGCTGCAGCAGGTATTTTCAATCACAATGACAAAGCATATTGTTAGGCCTCTTCACAGACGAACCGTAAGGAAATTGATACAAAAAATAAGTATTTAATGAACTCGAAGAAAGCACAACACCCACACTTATCCATTTGTAAAACCAAGTCACTTTTTGAAGATCAGCTTTAGTAACGGAGACTTGTGGGTCACCCCCTCGCTTATTTCGGGTTAAACCTATAATAAAACAACGATGCAGTATTAGAGTGAGTCATAAATAATTTCCGTAGCTGTCTATATTTCTGAGATGAGGTATTATGTACACTATTTACATTTTTCAGATTATCATCTTCATCTCTGTTGCCATATTTATCACGTTTCAGCCGATGTACGCTCCAGCCTTCTTCAGGTGGTTGGAATGTTGAACTGAACCCTTTATTTCCCTCACTGGGGTAGACTGTTCTAGTTCCACGTGCCATATCTCAAGGACACATGGTACAGTGGATAAAGGCATAAATTAGATCCAGTGACAGGAACAAAGAGTGTGAGTTCAATACCTGGTTAAGGCGGTGGAGGACTTGGAGACGGGAATTCACAGGAGATAACTGACATCCATTAGACATGGCACGTGGAACTAGAACAGTCTACCCCAGTGAGCGAAATAAAATGTTCAGTTCGACATAATGTAAATAGTGTCTAAAAGATGCTTGTATGACTATTCCACGTGCCAAGTCTAATGGATGCCAGTTATCTCCTGTTAATTCCCTTCTCCAAATTCTCCACTGCCTTAACCAGGTATTGAACTCACAACTATTTGGGTCCTGTCACTGGATTTAACCAACGCCTTTATCCACTGTGCCATGTGTCCTTGAGTTTAGTTATTGGTGGCTCCGTTTCCACTGAGTCCAAGAACACACCGCCCAGCCTAGGGATTGAACCCACAAATTAACGAACCAAGGCTTTAATTCACGACCTTATTTTTTTACGGCTTTCTATAAATGCTGTATAATTTCCTGTTTTTCTGAATAATATTAAATGTGTCTTTTTTCTGAATAGTAGTAGATAGGTTAACTCCCTCCCTTCTCCTTAGTGCACCGCCCCAACAACCTTGTGGGGAATAGTGACCCAGCTCTAGGGGTAGCTGTTGTGGTTTCTATAGCAAATAGTTTTTATGAGGGGGATCTGATTAGCCGGTTTGTGAATATAAGAGATTTCCTTCTCATAGACTCAAGGTTAGAGGTCTCAGTTCTTCCTTGCTATTCAATTCATAAATTTAAACTGTCAGCTGTATGCATCCGCTTTCTCAGATCCCATGGTTAAAAAAGGCTTCGAGCGAGTGAAGTGTGTAGGTCTCAGCGAGGAGACTCCTTCTTCAAACATCGTGCACTGGTCGACCAAATAACAGAAACCACATCACTTGACTTTCAACAGCAACAACAACAAAAATGAATAGCGCATGTAACGCGAATAGAAAATAATGACACAAAGATGTTGACATTCCACACTACTTCAAA